TCACAGTCTCCATTCTTAGCCTCTAACTAATAAACTAAAACTCTTTAATCTTTCCTCTTATTAATAAGAGAATAGTGCTGTTCTTAAAAAATACTTTCCTGAATGAATGTACCATCTTTCTTTTCTGATTAGAAGTTCTCTGCACTTCAAATTAATTACTGCTCTGTGCATTTTGATTTGTGAATTCTTGTTGGTTAAGAAAGAGTCAATATTCTGTAATCTGAACAGTTTCAAATATAGCTTATTTTTCTGTTTCACCAATGGTTACTAAATCTCTTTCCCCCTCTAATCATTATTGTAGTTAAAAAAAGTAAAAATTGATAGGCTGTCTCCATCCAAACAGAAATTCTGATCACGGCACCAGGGAGTGAGATCATGGTTTCCAAGATCAAAAGACAACTTTAAAATAACAGCAAATTGTACATGCTTACTATGATTCAAGGAATTTAAAAAATTATGCCGCAAAGCCAGGATTGTGGTTAAAATTACTTCTAATCATGCAATGAAGCTATACACAGAATAGTAGGAGTGGCAATATTTGGAGACAAGAGGAGTGAAAGATTAATTATATTTAGATGTCATTATGTTTGTACAAATAAGGAAATATTAAGTATTTCTGACTAAAAAAAACCGACAGCAACAAGAAATATCCAGGCCTAGATCTAACTGCAAGGTTACCATTTCAACTGGGAATTGAACAAGGGGTAATTTATTTTTTTTCTGAATTCATCATTAATAGTATTTTCTGAAGTAGTTCTAGTTTGGTTACTCCAACATTCTACCCTCCATACAGCTTCTAGAATATCTCAACTTACTATTTCAATAAAGTTATCCTATGAATTATTTGAAATGTTTCTATATTGTTAATACAGACATAACTTACAGGTATTGGGTTTCATCTTTTGAAGAAGTTGCATAAATTGAGGGTTAGGTTAAGAAGGAAAGGGCTGGTTAGTCTTATCCATTTTTGGGATTGGCTTTGTTGATGGGAGTCAGACTTCAGCCACTCTACCTTTTTTTAAAGTTCTTTGACCAAACTTGGTGTTCTGCCTCAGGGCCTTTACACATGCCATTGTAACTGAGGAGCAGTCTCCTACCGCTCCTGCCCCCTTCAGAGCTTTACATGATCGAGCTCCTCTAATTTTTATAAACTTTAACTTCATACCTCATTTTAAGAGAGATTTACTGTGATTATTTCCTCTAAAGTAGGCTCCCTTTTTATCAATTCTATTCTACCCACTTCTTTTTCTTGTTATAATTCATTTTATAATTTTTACTGTATTATAATCTTTTTACTGTATGTTACTTTCCACTAAAGGCAGGGGACAGGAACATGCCTTTTACTTTCACCTGTATAGATCCAGCAGCTCTCTCACATTTAGTAGGTGCTCAATAAATATTGTCAAGTGAGTGAATGATGATAAGAATACCTCTGGAGGAAGAGAAGGGAATTCTTGCTGAGGGAGGATGGTAACCTGGCAAAGAGATGGACGTGTAGGAAATAATAAACTGACGCTAGGAAAAGGTGGCAAACGGAGCAGGCAGAAGTTGCTATGTGGACATCAAGCAGCCGGGGAACAAGTTGTAAACAGAGCGAGGGTGAGAGTGTTGAGAACAGCGTTGACGTCTTATGTTGGAGATGACGAGTAATTTGGTTATTTCAAGGAAGAGGGATTTTATATGAGCTTAAAGCACACTGTGTTGAACTCTAGCTATTTTGTTTAAACGTATGTTACCAATGGCAGACATGGACATAATTTTATATATCTCTTTATTTACCATACTGTCTTGCCATGTCTTATGCCCGGGGGGCACTCAGTGGGCAGGTGTGGAATACTCGTTGCCTGAATGAAGAACTGCAAAGATTTATTCATGGTAAAGAACAGCTTAATTTTTATTTTAGCTTAAGATAAGTGTGTGAGTTATAATTATCAAGGGCATATTATATATCTGGATATATTTCTTCTCAAAGTAGCACATACTTCCTTGTACTTGTGTGAGGCTGGTGTACAGTCTACTGGACTTTTGGTTCATCTTTGGAAGAGACATGACTCTTAACTATTGTCATTATTTTCAAATATAATATAAAATATTTTATACACCTATGCATACATGGGTACATGTACATATATACAAACGATGCATTTTTAACATATCAATTTAAAATATCACAGATTTTCCAGGAATTCCAATGAATTTTCTCCATCCTCCAAATATATTTATTGACTCAGCTTGTATGCCTATTGTCTTACCTTACTCAGAAAAAAATTAGTTCTTTACATCCGAAGAACACAGTATATGTACACATCATCACAGACACATTGAGCGACACACAAGTGCTAGATACTTTGCAAGTACAACTCCTTGAGGTAGATATTGTTGTTACTGTTGTATTGATGGGGAAATGGAAAGTTTAGGTGTGGAAAGAACAGTCTTGCTATGGTGTGCTGGAATTTGAACTCGGGTCTCTTGTCTCCAAAATCTTGATCATGCTACAAAACACTCTAATGCAAAAGCAAAATCAAGTGAGCTGGGGCAGACGAAGTGGGAGCTGAAGACACAAAAAAGAATTGGGACCAACACAGAATCTTGATTCTTTTTCTTGATTAGGCTGAACCTTCCCCATTCAGCAGGGTATATTCTGAAACACCCAGACATTTGGACCTAAATTGCATGAGTATTTTTCTTCTGCCCCAGTAAGTATTTCTTCAATTAAGTTCTCATGTTACGTAGTTCAGTGTAAACTTTCTTACTTTTCTGAGTTAAAACCATTTTATGTTGTCGCTTAGATACAGTGGCCACAGCTCTCTCGGTCACTCTCACTTTCCCTCCCCTCACGTCCTCTCCCTCCCCCCGCCCCTTTTTGGGCCTTATATAGAATCCGCGAATGTTAGATTCCCAATTTGATTACCCAGGAATAGAGAGTCTCGTTTTCTCTATCTTCTCCTCAGTGAGAGTTCTATATGAAGAAAATATTCAGAATAAAAACCATCAGTAGTGTTTAAAGTTGGGAAACTAAGACATCAGTGAAATACTCCTTTTCAAGTTGGAAACATAAAAGTTATTGGTAATTGATAATATTCTTTGATGGCACTGGCAAGGTGCAGTAAAATAGGAACTCATATACTAGTAAAATTTACCACTAGTAAATTATACAGCTTTTCTTATAAGTAATCAGCAGTCTGTATCAAAAACTTTACCTTAAAAACAATTCTTACCACATCCATTTTTACCCAAAGGAATTTATGCTAAAACAACTCTTCAGATATATGCACACTAACTTTTAAGCAAGAATATTCAGTACAGTATTATTCTATTCAATATTTTAAATAACCGAAGCATCTAGCTATGCAGAAAAAGTAAAATAAAATATGGTGCAGCTATTAGAAGGACTTTTAATACATACCTTATATTCATGATTTTCAGAGAAAAAAATATAAGAAATTACTCTCTAAATAATGTTGAATGAAAACAGCAGGATACTGAATAAATGCAATCTGATTTTGTATATGAGAACACTTAGATTCAATAATGATAGCTTCTCTATCCACCCTTTACTTTCAATCTCCATTGCTTAACACAATCAAGTCTTAGTTTTTCTCATGACATAGTCCAATGCAGGGTGGTGGCAGTTGTGAATTTCTCTGTGCTTCCAGCAAGCTCAGTATATGGCTTCCAGATAGCTGGCGCCTAATTTCTTTGGTTCACAAAGGATGCATCACGTTCGCTCACCTTCCATCAGTAGGAGCGAGGCACTTGTTCTCTCTTCCCTTAGATGCAAGCGGCTGGGCCGTGTAGTTTTGTGAGCATCAGACTATCCCATATTCAAACACAGTGGAAGCAACTCAGAAGATTATGAGCATCTCCTGTGAGATTGTTTGTGACTTCATTTTCAACTTTGTGCTACTCTCTCCTGAATGTTCTAAGATGAGTGTAAGTTAAGTTCATCATCAGATAAAAGTAGAGACATTTAAAAACTGGAGGTGCAGTGGGAGGGCCAGCTGCTTATTTTCCCTCTGCAGATGCAGACAGGCTGGTATGCTCCCTGTAGTGTAAGTTTCAGTATGGCTGTGTGTCTTAAGAGGTTCTTCAGGGCCTGCCAAGGTGACAGAAAATACACTGAGCATAGCGTACGGAGGACTGTTCTCTATGCATGGGTGATTTGGATATAATATTTATCAATGCTGATCCCGTGGGTTGTTTTGGCTGATCTGGCTGGCTTGGAGGATTTTCCTTTCTTCCTTCATTGTTCCATATGTTTCCTTTCCAAAACCTTTCTCTATGTCTAAGAGAACATGTCTACCAGCAGAAGTGGGAAAGTAACAAAGCAAAAGTTCTCTCTCTTTCACAGTCTGTTAAAAAGTTATTCTTGACAAAAAAGAGTTGTGCATGAAGATGCAGGTTGAAAACTCATGCATTGCAGATGAAGTCTAAGTGATGATTTAAGAGCTAGTAATGATAGCTCTGTGCAGGAATGCAGCCTGCTCACTGCCCTTTTCAAACAGCTCCTTGAGAGTGACATACGGAAGAAATAAGCACTGTGAGAAGACCAACATCTCTGATACTGTACATGTGATTCCATATTTTATCTCTGGCCTCCACTCTGGACCATGAACTGTAGAGATATTTCTGTCAGTAAGACCCTTTCAACACTCACTATTGGCTTCAAAGATCAATCTTTCATTTCCGTGCCCACGCTTATTTTCTTTTTCATTGCATGCCACCTCCTTGCACTTGTCCTGTTACAGAGTCCACCATAGCTATTTAATATTTAAAGCCTGGGATCATTTTGCAGGTTTTAGTTTAAAGGTAACCATAGCACACACACACATTCATTATTAATAGCAGAGATGCACGAAAGTCCTTGGGAATCTCCTTTCCTTTCCATGTTAGTTTCACATGAACGCTGCTGTCACTAGAATGAAGTTCTGATATTACTCTACAGCAGGTGGACTAAAGCAATAACCGGGCATCGAGCATTATGTGAACTGTTAGTGTGGGTGGATGTGACCATGCTCAAAAGGGAGATGGAGCCGGAAAGCGACAGGCCACGGAAAGTCCGGTTTCGGATCGCGTCGTCCCACAGCGGCCGAGTTCTGAAGGAGGTGTATGAAGACGGGCCACCGTCCGGCTCTCTGGATTCTGAATGTGCCAGTATCTGTGGCATAGATGGACTCAGTGAGTCTGATGGACAGCAAAATGGCCACTTGGGATCAGAAAGTGATGAGCATGAGAACGACCAGGATAACTTGCTGGTGTTAGCGAGGGCTGCCAGCGAGAAGGGGTTTGGTACAAGAAGAGTCAACATTTTAAGCAAAAATGGCACGGTCAGAGGTGTCAAATACAAAGTGAGTGCTGGCCAAGCTCTGTTTAACAATCTGACCAAAGTATTACAGGTACGTCATTGCCCTTTGCTCCTTCTGAACTTGTTCTTCACTCACCATCTCAACATCATTCTGTTTTCCAGTTTAAAGCAAGCCTCTCCGGTCATGGCTCTTACGTACCTCATGAGCATCTTCCCATCTAAGACATTCTCTCAGCATCTGCTGATTAGAGACAGGGTTATTATGCTTAGCAAACCAGACTGCCTTCTCAAAGCCAAATTTCCACATTTAAGCGGTCTATTCTTTCAGTGCGTAATGACTAAAACAGCATATCTGTTTCTTGGCCAAGAAAAAAGACACACTATAGTGTTCAAAGTATCTGTGCAAAACTTAGGAGTTAATTTCTGGTTTATCATTTTGAAGGCACCAGGTCAGTGTTTATCATTAGTTGGACAGCTATTTAAACCAGAAAATGATTGAGTGCTGCACTCAGTGGGGTTGGATCATTTGGAATATTGTGAAGATATGAAGGCTAACTTTGACTCTCTCCCACTCTTGAGGAGGTTACAGGTTCATCTGTGTTGCATTTCTCCATTATTTGCTCTTAAGAACTCTTAGAAAAAAGTTATTCTGGGAAAAGTTATTCTTCTATAAGAGTAGAGACTGTGATCCAGATCTTGTAGTAAAAAATTGCCCTTATAATTTGATAGATTTTGCACAGTAATGTAGGAATGTATTATTCAGGTCCTGGGCCTTCGGCAATGATCTAACATTAAGACAGTTTTTTGAAATTGCCTGGAAGCATTGGTAAAATGATATTCTGTTAAAAACAGGCATCGTATTTCAGGAATGAAATTCATAATCACTATCATTAAGGCAGCAAACCAATATTTTTCATTGTAATACCATTTTATATTTTTCTCTATATTTAAATAAAATGATATCATGTGGTGAATTATTCAATGCCATGACATTATAGGGAGCTGCTGAAGTGGAAGGGAGAAAGGATTTTTAAAAAGATATTTGACCTTTTTCTTTTTATTTCAAAGGAAGTATACGGAAAAATCATACAATGAGGACTTTAAAAAAGAAATTTAAAGGTAAAATCAGTTAAGATCAAAGGTTATTTTCATATAGAAAACTGGTGAAGAGTTTGGCAGATTAGAAATGGGGGTGGAGAACCAAAGATCAGAAACAAATGACTATGATTTAGGTTGGAAACAATCTTGCATAGATTTCTAGGTATGTGACTATTAGGTTGAAATCATCTTCATGGCCTTTATGTTTCAGCCAATGCAGAAACGATTTTTGCCAATGGGTGGACCAAGACTGTATAACCGTCACATTTAAAAACAACTGGATTCACTGTAATTAATTTAGCTTGCTATGATTTAAAAGGCTTTATGGTTTGGAGCATTATTTACAAAAGTGCTGTACAATTTCAGTACTTTGATATGAAATTGTTCAAATCTCCCTAAATAAAACTATTATTTATGATTAAGTACCTTAAATCTTCAAAACCTAGAAGAGAAAAGCTTTTCTTCCTCATGATTTTGTTCTGATTGTGCTATAAATAAGCAAATAGGAGATGTAAAAAATGTCATTTCAAAATACTAGTACTCAATAAGCTTACAGTATTTACTTGCCTATTTTTCTATGCATAATTCTGTCACTCTTTTATGGGAGAAAATTTAGAAAAAACTGTCATTTTCTAATAATGTAACCCTGTTCCATATACCCCCTGCTTTAAGAGGAAAATAGTGGTTACTAGCAGAGGTATCTCAAAGTCTTTGATATTTAATCAGTTTTCCTCCCTATCTGGACCTTCTTTCTTTATAATGTGGATAATCAGTATACTGTAGGTATTCACAAATATTGGCCATTAAAATCAGGTTCATCATCATCACCATCACCATCATCATCATCATCATCATCATCATGGAATGTTCTCTGATCTCTCCAGGACAAAACATAAGTTAAAGGAACTCCTAATTTGGATCAGGGCTGCCAGTTGCACTATTTCAAGAAGCTCCATTTGTATCATTGTCTTTGTGAGCAGCACCTGCTGCAGTTGTGCAATGCAAGCTACAGAGCATTTGGTAGAGAGCTGACCTGGACGCTTGCTGCTTGCTAAGGGATGTGTATGTCATAAGCAGTGATAAGTGTCTTAGGCATGTGTCTTAGAATGATTGAGTAGGTTTCCACATATATCCCATAATGCAGTAGCAGAGGAGTCCTAGGGGCTAAAAGCAGAAGTTACAGTTCATTACCTCCATACATGGGTATGGGACCAGATGCGACTTTTCCCTGGATCTTTTTATATTTTCCATATTCCTTGGGAAATAAGCTGCTAACTTAGCTAGACATAACTATAACATAGCAATTCCTCTGAGGGGAAAAATGAGGAGTTGTGCCTTAGCTATTGGATTAAGCTTCCACTGCACACGCAATCCTATTGAAGCAAGGAACTATGACTGAAGAAATAGGTCTTTTTTCCTGTTTTATGTTATTAAAATCTTGAAGCACCCAACTTGAAACTTGAGAGGAAACTCTAAATATAAATTCAACCTTTCAAAGACCCTGTATGTCACTTTGCTTCCTCTCTATTAGTTCCGTATTCTGTTATTCCTGTCTCATGAAACACTGGCGTGTGCTCTGTAAAAATTCAACTGTACAGAGAATAGTCATAGAAATTATTTGCTTAAAACATTTGTGCTTCTTAGCAGCACTTATTTGGAAAGTTGTCTATAAAATATACATTAGAACAAATTTCCATTTTATATATCAATTAATTTACCTAACAGATGTCTGAGCTGCTGAGGATGTGCAATATTAAACAAGGTCACCTGGGTCATCAGGGGGGCCGTGTAGCAGGTGGTCCATTGGTTCCTGGTGACTCTCTCAAGAACCTCCAGCTGGTCTAGATTATAGCTCTTCAGATCCAGATGCCCAACTTCTCCAGCTCTCCCAGAGACGACAAAAATCTAATGCTCAGGGGAGGCCAATTGGGAAATCTGAAAACCTAGACTCTAATAGTGGCCTGGAAATATGCCTTTATTGGAAGCTCTTCAGGTTGTCCTTACATACAGTGCCTGGTACAAATCACGCCCCTTTTTTATTACAAAATCATAAGCATGTAATTCTGTAACATAACTGTATCACGCTCAAGCACACCATATGACATTTTAAGTGAAGTGTTTAAATTACAACGATAAATTATTAGGCCCATATTATTACCCTACCAACCACACTTAAGCAGGCGTTACTTCTGCCAGACCCTGTACATTGAAGTTTGAGAATCATTGACCTTGAATGTAACAGGGAAATTCATCCACTTGCCTGAAGTTCATGAACATATTCCTTAATGTTTTTATGTCTTCAACATTTAATGAGGAGAACAAAGAAGACGTGTATTGATCTATGATTTGTTAGATCACGGGGAGGCCTTTCCTGAGCCAGAATGAAATAAAAATACCTTGACAGACATGTTTCTTATGGGTTTTCTTATGCACCACTCAGTTGGTTTAGGAACAGGCCCAGAAGTCTTATCAGTACGCTTTGGTGTAGGTGCAATGCTTTAGTTATTTTTAAGAAATTCTGCTTTACCTGAATTGAAATCTAAGCTTTTTATCACTTCTATTTTCCTCGCCCTATCTCCTCCCTTCCGCCTTCTCCTTGCATTATGATGATCTAGTGGCACTTCGGTCAAAGGACAAATGGCTCCTCTGACTATAACCTCTTACTAGTTGTGTATAAGGAGAACTGTAAACTTTTTAAAATGAAGTGTGTGTATACTTTGGCAAAAATAAAAGAAATTCTGCTTTAAAGATATTTCTATCTAGATAAATAATTTCATTCCTCATTAATGGAATATTTTAGAAAGAAATTAATTTTTATTTTTCAAAAGCAGTTACTGTTACCTCATTCAAGACAAATGACAGGACCACTGTCTGACTCATAGCTCTCATCACCCACTTTGCATGATTGCATTTGAGACACACCTTGCTCTTAGCACCAACATATTTCCACAGTCTCTTAGGATGGGTCAGTGATGCAGATAATTAAGGTCATTTATTGTTTCTTACTTATTGTTATGTGATTAAATTTCAGACAGTAATTACATTTCACTCAGCAATATTTTCAAGATTGTATACTTTGTTTTATACTCTGTTAGAATCTTCTATTGTAGTTGTCCTAATTTCAACTCCCCTTTCTTCCTACAAATTTATAATTATTGTATAGAGAAAAATATATACAAAGAAGGAAAATAATTACACCACAACTATAATTTGGTGGCTCCTTTCTAAAAATTCAAATTACACATTTTCCTTCATCGATGTATGTACATGCACATCTGTGGTTAGTGTGCTTACATTTATGACTAGTCTAATATTTCAAGACTAATAAAATAAAAATGCAATTGATTTTGGAGAATGTGTTCTATTTTGCACAAGGTTTTCACATATGCAATTTTTCTTCAGTGTGTATAAAATTGCGAAGTAAACATGAAAATTATTATAATGACTGTTTTGACAACTGCATGTCAGAGAAATCAAGCATCTGGCCCAAAGCTAGGAACATCAGAATGATATCTTTTCTGTTTTAGCTCTGTAAAATTTTAAAAATAAAATGCTATATACAAAACTCCCAATTTTACCTTTAGAAGTGTTATTATGACAAATATGAAGATTTATATGACAATCTTGTTTTTTGAAAGTTCAGATAGCTCTATTGATTTTTAAATTGTATTTTTAAAACTAATCAAAACCTCTCATATCTATAACATTATTCGATTAAATTATCATCATAACAAATTTTATTAAATGTATTGGGGTGACATTGGTTAATAGGATCATACAGGTTTCAAATGTATATTTCTATGATACTAGAAGTGTTCTGATTACAAATTAAGATAATGGAGATTTTTGGTACTATCTAGTTTTTTGAAACATCAACATTTCATTAGCAGATTTAAAATGTATTATTTAGCAAATAATCAGTCTTCATCCAGGTTTTCCTGTAGAGTTAGATAGCTCTATTCATTTTTAAATTGTATTTTTAAAATTTATTAA